GACGACTAGCAGCACTTCAAATTAGGAAGGACTACGTTCGTATTAATTATCGTGCGGCATAAACCGAAGATATTTTAGTCACGCAAAGATGCCAGCACTTGAACAAGTTTTTTTCCAGCTGCCTAGAGAATCCAGTCGCTAAAATTGACCACATAATTAGTATAGACAGATCCCATTGGTTTCCCATGTACTTATAAATTGAAATATTTTTTTAAATAAAAAAAGTATGCACAAAATATTCCTTCCTGTACCCATTGGGTAGCAAATAGTGTCCTTGGGTTTAAAAAATGTAATTATCTGTCTGTTTATCAATATTGGTTATGAAGTATCCAACATGCTCCGCATTCATTACGACATTTCATGGCTCTTATCAGACGTCTTTTTAATGGCGTATCGAAATATATGATTCCCCATACACATAAAGTATAAAGCATGTGGGTTGGAATGCTTAATCTAAGTACATTTTCAAGTCAGGTTTAGAATTATTCGCAAATTGAAGACGTTTTAGGCAACCGAAGGATACCCCTTGTACGTCCTTTGCATAAGGATACTTTTGCGCGTGTTTTCTGTAAAACATTAGAATTTATAAGGGCGTTGGAAATCAATGGTGGAAATTCATACATGCCCTGGCATGACTGAGATATCTGTAGATTATGAGGCATGGCAATTAATAATGGCAACCCCATCTAAGTGATCGTTACTAGCAAAAAAGACATATCCGAAACTTCGGTTAACATTTCATCAGATAGACAAGGTACTGCATTTGTTAGCGTGCTGGGACATGCATTTCATGGATCAAATTTCGAGTTCGACTATCGTTTGAGTGTCGGACGGCTGGAGTACCGGAAAGCAGTATTTAGAGCAGGATGAGGCGGAGTTACCGGACCTTGAAGCCCTTCCCCAACTCCGAGCGTTTCATCTAACATCATCGACTAGTTTAACCAAAAGAGGAGAGAAGCTCATCGGGGTTCATGACACAATATTGAATACTAATTTCAGAGGGACAAGGCATAGGAATGGTGATGTTACCCCCATTAAACTGTCATTTGTACAGTCGAGGGAAATATGTACGAAGGAAAGTAGTATAAGACTATTACGAAATCAAATACGCGGGCGTCCGCCAAAGGAACTAACAATAGCGCAGGGAATATTGGTCAGTAGCTGGTGGAATTCAGCCAAAGTATTCACATCAACTTACAAACCGAAAAGCACGAAAAGCTTTGTACCGAAGGATTTACTCCAAGTCTGTGCACCAATTTCCCCCCGGAAATAAAACAGGATAGCGTTTATCACGGGCCGCCTGCCTTATTAAGTTTAATAGCTATTACTATCCCTATCGATACTGGACTTATTCCACATTTAGGCTGGAACAAACATGGCCACATGACAACTGGTTGTAAACTATCCACGTAAACGCAGCGATGCAGCCAGTTCTGCGTCAACCTTTTAGTAGTCGGGGCCCCTCTCTATCCGCTATCGTAAAGTTGTCAACTGACGGCAAGCGTTGTGACCTTTAATGCCACAGGTAGGTTACAGTCACATTGAAACATTGGAGATAAGCCAAGATAATGCGCATTTTATATACAAGCCAAAATCTTGTTAATCACAGAAGACCCTAATTTAGCAAAACCGAAGGAGACGTTTTGTAGCACTTTAGTAAACCCGAGAAGAAAGTGGCAACGGTTTGGAAAAACTCGACGCTAGCAGCTGCAAAACAGTCTACAAAGTAGGTCCGTTGGGATTTGATACGATGACAATTAGTCTACCATCGACTACGCGTATCCAAAAAGTCAAGAGATACGGAGAGAGATGGTCGCGACGCTCCACCAGTACACAACAAGCGG